TCGGTAATGTCTCTGGGTGCAGTTCTTGAGGCAAGGGTTTCTCATCCCATTATTTTGGATGTATTAACCCATTCTCTCATGAAGTCAGTGAGGTTTTTTTTTTTTTTTTTTGAGACAACCTTCTGTGAGTCTGAAGGACGGTCTCTTACATATGACTCTTCTCTTGCTATTTTAAGATTCTTTGTTGTGTGCTCTTGTCATTGACTGTAACATGTTCTGAGGGAAGATCTGTTTTGATTGAATCAATTGTCCCTTGTGCTTCTAGAATCTAGATGTCCATATGTCTTTAAAGACCTGGGAGCATTGGAAGAATTGTCCCATAAAAAATACTTTTCGGTGTCTTTCCCATTTTCTTTCTTCAGTTCTCTCAAAGCAAATGTGCTTTTGCTTAATGGTTTCTCATCATTTCCTAGAGGCTCTTCATTCTTTTACATTCTTTTTTAAAGCGACTTTTGAGAAGAGCTGTTCTCAAATTCTGAAATTTCTTCTTCTGGCTGATATGGAAGCTTCCTTTGTATATTTCATGTCACCAGTTGAAGGTTTTACTTCCAAGCTTTGTTATTGGTTCTTTTTTTGTGATTTGTCTTTGGTGAACTTCTCATTAATATCCTGAGTTGTTTTCCTTATTTCTTCAGACTACTTATCTCTTTCATGTCTCTCTGGGTTTCCTTACGATTGTTGCTTAATTTCTTTTTCAGGCATTTCATTGGTTTCTTTCATGTAGATCTATTTCTGGATAGTTATTTTTTTTCCTTGCAGGTATCATGTTTCCATGTCTTGACGATGTCTGCACATCTGGTGTAACATTCTATTTCTTCAAATTTTATGAAGTAGCTCTGTAGGAAAGACATTTTTGTTTAGATGAGATGTAGGACACCAGCTGGATGGGTTCTTTTGAGTTTGGCTAGAGTGGGTCCCAAAGCAATCTTGGTGGTCCCTTTGTCTTTGATTGATGTCAGCAGTGTCTGTGTCGTAGGGGTCCATGACACAGGCTTCTGTATGTGTCCTGGGACTCTACAGAGTTGACCTCTGAATACACAGAGGCTGCAGTGGCAGCTTCCATAGCTTCAGTGGTATGGGATGTGGGGAGGAAAGGACCGTCTTGAGGTCCTCGGCATGGATTGCAGCAGCAGCAGTAGCAGCCCTCCCTGTTTAGCCACCCCACGTGAAGGAGACTGTCTCCAGGATTCTCAGGATATGCGTGGGAGATGCTGGGCCTGAACCATAGGATGGGACAGGACCTTCCTTGGCTCCACAGGATGAGCACATGGGTACTGGCATCTACGGCACACACACAAGCAACTTTCTAGCATTCATTTTGTGAACTGTCAAATCCACATTTGCTTCCTAGCCTTGTTCCCATTTGCCTAAGTTTAAATACCCATGCAGTACCAGAGGGTATGAGACTCTGACACAGGTATGCCATGACAATGTTTCCTTTTGCCTCTCATGTGTCATTGGCCAGATTTTGCCTCTGATGCATTCCTTAAAAGTGAAAGCTGTTATCTAATTTCTTTTTACTTTTCTAATTTCTTTCACCCAGGGAGAGGCATACCAGGTTTTCTCTTTTGGGCCGCCATCCAGCTCCCAAATTATGACACAGAGACTTAATATTAGTTATGAATACTCAGCCTAGCTTAGGCTCCTTCCTGGCTAGCCCTTTTAACTTAACCTATTTCTCTTTATCTACCTTTTGCCACGGGGCTTATTACCTTTCCTTCTGAATGTCCTCCCTTTCCTTCTGTATGTCCTCCCTTCTGTATGTCCTCCCTTTCCTTTTGTATGTCCTCCCTTCTGTATGTCCTCCCTTTCCTTTTGTATGTCCTCCCTTTCCTTCTGTATGTCCTCCCTTTCCTTCTGTATGCCCTACTCTGTGTCTGCTGGCTGGCGGGTGCCTGGCCCCAGGCGTCTCCCTTTCTTTCTCCCTCATTCTCTCCTCTCCTTTTTCCTCTCATTCTTCATCAGCCTACATTTCTCCTCCTATTTATTCTCTCTTCCTGCCAGCCATGCCTGTCCCTCTCCTGCCTAGCTAGTGGCTGTTCAGCTTTTTATTAGACCAATCAGATGCCTTAGGCAGGCAAGGTGAAACAAATACAACACATCTTTACATAATTAAACAAAGGCAGCATAAACAAATGTAACATACCTTCACACAGTTAAAGTAATATTCTGCAACATAAACAAATGTAACACAACTTCACACAGTTAAAGTAATATTCTGCAACATAAACAAATATAACACACCTTCACACAGTTAAAGTAATATTCTGCAGCATAAACAAATGTAACACATCTTGGCCCAGTTAATAATATTCCAGAAAGGGAGTTTGAAGGTAACAGAAGATTTTGAAGCAGGCATTTAAATACCTTTGTTTCATTTTGGTAAGGGATAGATCTGTTTGAAGGTGTTTGTGCATGCTTGCCTTGGTCGGCAAGTGGAAATTTGTAGCTCAGTGTGTTAAAAGAACTTCACTAGAGCCCAAGTTAGAGCCCTTGCAGGAAAAATCGATTTCTAGAGCTCAAGATGAGCAATGAATGTTCTACACAGTGAAGCAGAGGGACACTACATCAGAGGCCGCCTCACTACTGACCACTAAAAGAAATCATCCCAAGGAACAGTGTTACCACATACCTTCTTCCAGCACAGGTTGGAAGCGGTATAACCGGGTACCACACTGAAGTCATCTGTCCAGGCCTCCCTTTCATAAGCCACTATCTACTTTGAAGACCTAAGCCTAGGCACCTGTATGATAATGGAGACAGGATCCCTTAAGATCCTGCTTAAGAGCTCTGGGGGATGAGGCATACACATAAAGAAGTTTTAATACAAACCACAGCACACTCCATAGATGAGATATGAGCTATGATTGGCATGTAGGAAATCCCAGTGACGAGTGTGCTTCTGAACTGAGCATTGAATGTGGAGCCAGGAGAGGAAGGGAAGCTATGGGTGTAGGAAACTCACCCAAGCCTGTGCATGGGCTGACGGTCAATGTGGGGGCCGTAAAGCTTTTATCAGGGGAGTGACCAGCAGACCCGTGTTCTCCTCTTCCCCACCATTTCCTGTTGGGCACTCAGCACTAATCACGCCTATCTTACGATGGGTCTGGGTTCCGTCTTCCACATCCCTGCCCACAGTCCAGATAGCCTGTCTTCCCACATCACTAAAGGACAGTCCAGTGCCCACAGGGTGGTAAGAAATCTATTTGTAGAATATTGGAGTGGAAAATAAAGAAATGGGAAATATGGGGCTGTCAGGTAACTCCATATGAAGATGTCCATGACCCTGAAAGCATGCAGTTCAAGAAAACCCAATTGCAGCAGCTTCTCTAAGGCTCAGAGGGAACCCTAAAGTCATTGGGACAGAGACAATTACTTTGGGGGAAAAATCAAACCACAAATGTCAAAAGAAGCCTTTACAATGTGAAAACCTGGGAAGATTTAAGGCATTAAATTCTCATCTTTTCCCACATTAATTTTGAGTTGGCCAAACAGTGCTAAATCTTATTGCAACCAGCAACTCTCTTGGGCGATGACTGGAAAATGTTGGATGCTTCTTTTGAAAGGCATGCAAGGCTGCTCTATTGTGGCCAGGGGCCATGGAGCCTGGGATACTTTGTATCTGCTGTCACCTTAGGCTTGCCCTCCTGCCTTGACTGTGGTGACAGATGTCTCCACATCACCATGTTAAGGGGCTCATGGGCCCTCACCTCCCTGCTTAGAACCAAGTGATAATATGCCCAGAGACAGGGTCGCATAGCTTCTTAGCTAAATAGTACATTTCACTGTGTCGTCTTTTGGTGTTCCCTGGATTTCTTGTAATTCAGACTTTTTGGAAAAGTCCTCCCCACCCCCCGCTGCCCCCCAGTTTTCAATAATGCCCACTGAGGTTCTCTTGTCTCTTAACCTGCCCTGTTCCCCCAGCACCACCTCACTGTTTGTGACACATTCTCCTTTCCTGTGCAAAGAGACCCTCCTGATGCCTTGTGCCCTAACTTCCCCCAAAGGGGCCAGCTGCAAAAGGTCAGGTTACACGGGTGTTCCTTCCCTCGGGTCAGGATGTCAGCCTGGCTCTCATCCCACGCTGGGAGAACACGTCCTGTGTGGTTTCTCTCATGTTGCACGTGGGGTCTCTGATCTATCACTCACAGCTGGGAAGCACCGCACCCTTGCACCCCAGTGCCGTCACTACAGAATTGGTAACCATCTCTGAGGCCCTCATCTCCCAAGATTTCAGGAGCACACAGAACTTTCTGGTATCGTGTGGGAGTGATTCTGGGCCTGTATTTGTCCCATTGCTTGCTGACTTGGTCATTCGTTTAGCGTGTACTTAGCGGGTACTTGCTGTGTTCTGTTAACAAACCAAGGTTTCGTGTTCATGGCTTAGCACCTGCCCGTGCCCACCCACCAAGGCACCAGCACACGAACACGGGGACCATGCTCCCCAAACCTGTTTTTCTAAGCCTTATTTCCAAGCCTGTCATGTGAAAAAGGATTTCTAAACTATGCTGGCGTGGTCCAAAACAGTGTGGCTTGGATGTTGAAATGTCTCTGAATTTTCCGTGGCCTGTGAATTAAGAAAGACAACATGTAGACATCTGTGCTGACATGGAGAATGCAATGGGCAGTTGTAGTTCTGTTTTTCCATTCAGAGTGTCTTAGGCAGGTAACTTAAACATTTACATTCTAAGTATTTGTAACTTTCACTAAGAAAAAAAATAACATATTGTATAATACACCTTTACGTTTAATGCCTACTGAAAGTCCAAACTTCCTTTAAAATGCCAGCTTAACAGAAGAAAAGGTCCCAAAGCTGTAGAACTGCTTTGAGGAGATGGGGTTGAAAGTTCACATGGCCAGGTCTGCTCAGTGCGGTCGGCAGTCCTTGCCGAGGAAGCGTCTCCCACCACAGCGCCCCTCAGGGCAGTTCTGCTTTTATCCCACTTGGTATCCCGTCGTCCCTCGGGTTCTCACTGTCTGTCCCTCTTGCTGTGTTCCAGTCTCCTTCTCCTGGCAGTTCCTCACCCCTGGGTGCTGAGTCATCAAGCATAGCCCTTCATCCCGGTGACCCCACGGAAGCCTCCACAAACAAAGAGGTAGGGCCCCATCTTCATCCCTGATGCCTGTTTTCCTTCACCCCGAGAATGCTTTGTTGTGTTCACCCCCGCCCACCCTGAGGAGATGTATTTCTTCTCCTCGGCTATGTGCAGATTGTCACTGAAAGCCGTGGTTGATCTGTCCAGTTCGGTGGTCACTGGCCACAGGTGGCTGGTAGTTCCTGAATATGGGAATTCACATCCTCAGGCATACCACTCGCGTTCCAGCTGTTCAGTCAGTGCTGTCTGTAGTTGCTTACAGAACTTTTGTACCACAGGAAGTTCTACAGGACACTGGCCCTCAAAAACTCTCTGCCAGCATCTTTTCCAGAACTTTCTGTGACGAATGCCACCTCTGCATTGTCAGGGGTACTCACCAGCCCCATGGAGCTCGTGGAACATGGCCAGTAGGACTGGAGAACTAAAATTCTTATTTTCACTATAGGCCAGAAGCTACTCAACAGGGAGGTTGTAAGGTGTCCCTTGGGGACAGGTTCTGTGTTTACCCCACTCATAGGGGACACACTGAACTCTGACAGAGCTCTTAAGTCACAAGATGTAGCTAAGATTTCTGGGGCCTAAAGAGGGCAGGTGTTTCTCCCTGAGTGGAGCCCCTGCCTCCTCTCACACCCAGTGCTCTCTTAGCCCGAGGTGGCGGGCTGCCTAGTGCGTGTCCACACCACATGACCGTTTCCCTGCTGAGTGACTGTGAGGGCACGAGACACTCCTTCATCGGCCCGGAGATGTGGTGAAGAGGTACATCTCGTGCTCCCTCACTGTGCCGACAGTTTGATGTTAAATTCAATGAGGAAAAGAAAAGCAGTGTTTCACCCGAATAACGGATTATTTCTACACTATATCCTGTTTATGAGAGAGAAGTACGGTTTTTAGTAAACCAAGTTCTTCTAGAACTATCTTTTCTTCTCCTCTGGTCTATTCAGACTCTGTCACTGGAATGTAAGTGACAGGATCATAGTTTCTGCTGGCCCCTTTTGCCATTATTTGATACTTTTATTCAGAGCACATGATGGGTAAGAAGGAGTGATTGCTTACCAACAACAGTAACAGACATTAGCATTTATTAAGCATTTGTGGTATTTCAGGCACCAGGCTGAGCAAGTCCCAGGCTGAATCTCATGGGAGCCTTTTGGTGGTTCTGGGGTGGGGGTGGATATCACTGTCCTCGTGTTAGTTCTGAAAGACAGAATTTGGGTACCTTAGGCTACACAGCTCACAGGTGGCCCGCCATGGTTTGAATCTGAAGTCCTGTCAGCCCAGGCTCTGAACCGCCAGGGTCTACTACACCTGATGTGGAGAGTGTGTGAGGTCACACTCCCAATTGTCATGCCTGTGGGCTCTGTACAGATTCATGAGACCCCTGACAAGCCTTGAAGTCTCAGCTTTAATTTCTCATGTTGCTGCGTAGCCCCGACTGCCCTGACTTGAACTCAATCCTCTTGCCTCTTCCTATCCAGTGCTGGAATGACAGCTGTTCCTCCACATCCAGCCTAGCCCTTAGTGTCTTAAATGAAACCTTCTTCATTCTTGCTAAGGGTCAACTGATTTTCATCTCAGTCCATGCGTGAGACGGCAGGTCTAATCGGGTATCTGAATATTAAGCCCTCAATTATGCATCAGCTGTAATAGGGAAGGTAGATAAGTTAGTCTCCCAGTCCCTGCAAGGCTTGGCACACGGCTCTGCATATCGTTAGAAATAATGATGAAAATCCTCATTGTATGCAATAGAGATGCTTTCATTTCACAAAAGTATTTTAAAGTATTACCCCAGAATGAAATAAATCTGATCGTGAGCTAGCAAATGGGGAGTAGTGAATATACCAACTGCCTACCATTGCTGCTCTAGAGTAATTCTTCTGTAGCTCTGCTAAAACAGGTTTTAGCATTCAGAGAAGAGTCCTACTAGCCCAAGAAACCAAATCAGCTTCTTAAAGGTACCTGGAGACTAGGCCATTTTGATGATGCTGAGTGACTTCTCATTAGTGGTCCCACCCCACCCCCAAACACTGAGAGCAAGGGCAGGGAGATGGATGGGAAGTGGTCTTTGGCCCCTGTGAAGAAGCTAGCTGCTGCATAGCATGGCCTCTCCTCGCCATGCTTGCCTCATGTGCTGTGCAGTTTCCCACAATGCATCAGCAACCAGGAGCTTCAGTTCTTGGTACCCAAGAGACCTGATTTCTTTGACATAAGGTGTCATTTCATCCCAGTGAGCACATTTGCAGGGAGCCTGCTGAAAGTTGCCATGTGTGGTCTACCATGCAATTAGTGTGGAGTTCCTGTCACTGTCCTGAATGATGAGGTGCTCTGATTTCCAACATAAAACAATTAGCATGCCAATGTCAGAATCCTCTGCATGTTAACAGAGTGACACCCTAGTCCTCACCCACAGCCCACTAATCTAGCCCTTCAGATACCCCAGAGTGTGACATCATCTAACAGGTGGGTGTACAGAACAGATGTCCTTCTCCAAAAATCACGTTTAAATAGGCACATGCCCCCCGTGGTAAATTTTGGCCACGCAAACCTTACCTTTTGCCCATTTGAGGTGCTTACATTTGAACCCGAGGTGTCTTCTGATGCCCCCCATATTTCACCTTATAAGTTTGGATACCATTTAAAGCAGACATGAATTCTCTGCTCGTCTCTCACGGGGAGGAGCCATTTCCAGCCTATGTGCTTATGGAAGAAGCCTATGGCAAGCTTTGCTCCTTAGCACGCTGGCATATAAACTTCCGGCCAGAATCTAGAATGTGTCCAGCTCACCCCATCCAATAGTGCTGTTGAGGCTGACACAAAGAAATGCCAGTGTTTTAAACCTAACCTTTTATTCTCACTTTAAAGAAATATAAATTCATGATTTACAGAATGGAATTTTTCAGCTTAAGTGAATCAGTGAGGGATTAAAAGGTGTGAGAGTTTATTTTACTTTTAATGGATACCCTTGTGTCAAAGATCTAAAGGAAACTCTCCGGGGACTCCTTACTCTCAGAGTATACAGCCATGCTATCGGTACATTTAGTAATCAATAGTTTTTTATGCTGAATACACTCTTAAAATGTACAGTCTAGTCTTTATTGCTGATTTTACTTTTTTTTAAAGCTGACAAATACCTCTCTGAAATGTAGGGGGATTTTGATCACTTCAAACTTTAGTGGGGAATTCTGGGCTTTAGGTAACCTTAACAGGAAACCCATCTATTTATCTATACTTCACTCTTTCTAAAGAAAAACGGTCGATAACTGGTTAACAAATGCCACTGGTGATGTATTTCTTTTTTATGTTGCATGGACGCTTGTGCTAATGCATATTTCATCATGCTCTGCCCTTTTTGAAACCTCTTTGTCTTAATTACAGTCAAGAAAAAGCTTGGCTTCATTCCCAACCTACGTTGAAGGTAAGAACTGACGAGAAACTACTGAGTACTGGGTCACTCATGAATCTTTTAGCATTTGGAGGCACTGGATGGAAAACAGATTGGGGGAAGGATCACAACTGCTAACTCTGAGCGTCTTAGACTAAAAGTATAATAACTGTGAATCCTTGGTTCTTGCCATAGACCAAGGGTAGAGACTGGGCCTAGCCAAGCGGTAAGCTACGCCCCAGGGTGTCGTGAAGGTCCTGACTAACTGCCCATTTCTGTGTTTTGACTACAGCCTTAGTTGTTGAAAGTGAGTAAGTTAAGTTTGTACCCTGGCCATCAGCTTCTCATGGGGAGCAACTCAAGGTGAACTAGACCATTAAGACAAAAATAAAAATCACTTCAGATTAGCCCTGCAAGAGGGAAAGTAAAGTGTTTCTACTTCAAGTTATCTCATTTCTAGAACCTGGGCTTTCACAGTGGGTTATATTTTAGTCTCCTTGGAATTATCACTCAAGTCAAAGAAAATACATATTTTACTTGCAGTTAAAATGTCTGTCTTTAGTGACCCTGTTATATGTAACAGTTGCAAACATGCTTTAATTTGGGGTGTGGATTATAGGTGATTGTGATTAGAATCAGATGTCCCTCTATTTAAAACAGAGATTTAATTTAGTGGACTGGTGTGTGAGAACAGGAAGATCTGATTTTCCTTGGGATTGGTCTCAGTGTGAAGCATCATGATCTGTCCATTGGCAAGATTGGCAGCCTGGGACCATGGCTTTGCAGTGACATTATCAATTTGCAGAGTTGGAGTCTGATGCCATTATAGGAATGAACTATCCTATTTTCCTCATGTATGAAATGTGATTCCTCCATCACAGACCAAACAGGGGAGGAAATTTTGAGTGGGTCGAAAGGGAATAGGCAGCGTCAGGAAACGGTGCTTTCCATTATCGGAGCTCTCCGTTCCTCTAACCGTTTCCGCAAGCAGACATCTAGTTTATAGATATGTATGCCAGGCATGAAAGTCAGAGATGAGTATGGCATGTCCCTTGTTGCCAAAAGCTCATGCTGCAATCCCCAGGACTACGTTGAGGGGTGGGGAATTGTTTCACCTAAGGTCTCACACATGCCGGGCAAGTGCCCTACAGGCAAACTTTGAACAGACTGTCTTCCTGCCTCACCTTCCCAAGCAACTAGGATTCCAGGCCTGGCTAAGAGACATCATTTTTTTAACTGTTGGACTTTGATTCATATTCAAGTAAATCCATCATTTTGCATTTCGCATAGTAAATGACTCGAAGATGTCTTAGACTAGCAGGTCGACCACATATGTAACCAGTGAGAATGGGAACTGGCATGCACCATCCAGGATGTGGTCCCCACCCCCCAATGACATCATTCACTCTGTGTGGCTCTATGTTGTTGCAGTTCCTGGACCTTGTGACCCTGAAGACTTGATCGATGGAATTATTTTTGCTGCCAATTACCTTGGCTCCACTCAGCTGCTCTCAGACAAAACTCCCTCCAAAAATGTGCGCATGATGCAAGCCCAGGAAGCAGTAAGCCGCATCAAGGTGAGGGGTCTGCATGGGCTGAGGGGTGGTGGGTGGCTGGAGGCACCTGAGCTGTCAACAACCCACAGCTCTTAGAGAGTAGACTAAGATGCTGCCAGCAGGACTTATTCCTGCCTAGCTAAAAGCCTGGGCCTATACATATAAACACTGTTCAGGTTGACCTTGAGAATAAATACATATGGCCGTGGACTTTGCTCTTTATGCCTCTAGGGTGAGGTTCCAGTCCTGGCTTTCTGCTGACAGCTGGAGGCTCCTGGTTGGAGCAGTCCTCTGTTAGGCTCCATTCAAACTGTCTTGCTTCCAGTAAAATGAACTATTCTGGTAAAATGAATGACCAAATCTTACCTGAGTAGTCTGAGGAAGTCAAGCAAATCCCGCTTTAAACTAGTTTGAACACAGTCATAACCTACCTAAATTAGTTTTATCATAGCCATATCCTGTTTAAATTAGTTTTATCAAGACTTAAAAGGAAAAAAAGTTAATTGGATACATCAAGAAACAATTCCATCTAGTTTCAATAATTCACAAGTAGATTGAGCCACTCAAAATCAGTCTGGAAATGTGGAACTCTAGAGTCTCCACCACAATACCACCTAGAATTACAGAAAAACCAGAGCAGCAGGGACACTGTGCATTCATGCTATCCAAACGCCCTGTGCTGTCAGATGAAGCACACTCAGAGAGCGAGCATCACTGCATAAACCTAGAGCCAGAAAACTGACATGTTAGGACTCACCAACTTATTTTTCTAGTTTCAGCGACTTAAAACGGAATATTCTCTGCCCCTCTCCTTTGGTCCCATACCACAGCCTGGTGCTGGTGTGGTTCCATAGTGTGAGAAAAGGGCAAGAGAAGGCAGTGTGAGGCCTTTGTCTGTTGAGAAGAGACAATCCTTGAGTGCTCTTATGTAAGACTGAGGGAGAAGGTAACAGTTGAAGTGAGTCCCTTACCCCTAACTCAACAGCTCGGAGGAAACCAACCAGTGTGTCAGGAAGAGGCTGTCAGATGAGGAATACCACAGGAGTATCCTAGAGGCTGAAGGGAAGGGAGGTTCCTGACCTGAGAGGAGTGATTTAAAAGGAATCGAGATTTACTGTGGCTCACGGTTGCAGGGGTCTTAGTCCACAGCTGGTTGGGTGTGGTTTCTGGGGCTGTAATGAAGCAGAACAGTGAGGCCGAAGAGCATGGGGAGCAGCTTTGCTCACCTCAGGGAGACAGACAGAACTGCATGCCGATCCTCTCCTCAAACACCCTCACCAGCACCCAGACGTATACTTACTCCTTGGTGTCCCTCAGATCAATCAAGAATCAGGTTGACAAGAGTAACCGTCATAAATTCGTCTCTGCTCAACTCAACACCCTAAACACATCTGCTCAGGCCATAATTAATCTCCAAATGAAGAAAACAATAAGGATATAGCTGCTTAATAACTTTTCCAAATCTCCCCTGGCACACTAGACAAACTCTCACCTGTGAGCTCCTGTGAAAAACAAGTTAAACACTTCCAACATATAATGATGAACATCCTCATTCCAACAGGGCAGAGTAAAAAAAAAAAAAAAAATGACAAACCCAGCACTAACAGAATCATGTAGCATCTGAGGAGTGTGGTGGCATAATACGAGCTTCAAAGGTCCTGGGCAGCCTCACCTGCAGCCTTGCCAATGGTAGCCCACGTGGTTTGTCTCAGATGGCTGCATTCACTACCTGGAGCTTCAGTGGCATATATTTCCTGTTCTTGCATCTGATTTACTGGCACCTCCATTTCATCTCTGTCTTTACCTTCATATCTTCATCTACAGAGAGGGCTCCCCCCAAACCAGTATCACATGGAAAACACCAGTGTCTGGCACCAGCTCAAGCAGTAGCTAGACCTCCTTGGACCATGGCTGCAGGAACCTCTGAATGCCTTGGCAACTGAGCAAGCAGAATGGTTTCTATGATAATAACTTGTAGGCATCTGTATGCACGCAGGGCGCCCAAGCAGCCTTCTCTTTCCAAGGAGAGTCTTTCAAGTCAGTTTACACTTTTCTGTCACGAAGCCTGCAGTAAGAAAGCTCTTGCTGATTCCTGATGTGCCTTCAAGGCATCTTTCTGTCCTATACCAAAGTACGTCTCTCCTTTTGGAGGGTACTTTTTAGAACCCATACCTTCTGTAACCTCAATTTTTCATGGACTTTGAACCAAACTACAGGTTTTCGCATCTTTCCACCCTGCTTCTGCTCCCCGTTCTAACTGTAAACCTGACCAAAAGCACCAGCAGTTTCCATGCAATAGCCTGAATGGTAGCTGTCTTAAAATCCCCTCGGCCGCCGGATTTAAAGAGAACCTAACACAAAGTCTCAGGATAGAGACAAAATGTAGACAAGTTATTTGTCAAAACACAACATGAATGGCCTCTAGTCCAACTCCAGATAAGTTCCTCATTTCCATTAGAAACCCCATGAGCAGTTTTTACTATCTGTGATGTATTGATCTGAGCTCTCAACATCATCACCCCTTAAGGCCTGGTGAGAGAATTTTGGGAACTCTAACACATGTTTCCAAACTTCTCTTCCCACAAACAGCTCGTGAAGACTTCTGAGCCATGGAGTCAGGTAGTCCCAAAGACAACGCCTCTCCTAGTACCAGTTTTCTGTCCCTTTGTAAGTTGCCATGACAAGTAGTTGAGAGGAAAGATTGGCTTTGGTTCACAGCTGCAGAGCCCATTGTTAGCTTACTGTTGTTTCTGGGCTGGGGTGGAGAAGAGCATCATTGCAGGAGGGTGAAAAGAAGCAGAGCTGCTGCCCCATGGCAGCTGGAAAGCAGACAGGCAGCAAGTGCTTGTCTACGCTGAAAGGCGAATCTGCTCGTCTCCACCCACGTCAATCAAGACTGACCATGACAGCCAGTGTGCTGGCATACACCTGCTGTCGCCATGCTCAGGAGGCTAAGACAGGGAGAGTGTGAGTTTGAGGCCAGCCTGGGCTCTGTTACAAGTCCTGTCTCTAAATCAATAAGATGAAGCCTCGGAGCAGATGCCCACTCACTCTGCATTTCCCCGGGATGCTGTGATGCTCACTCCTCTCATCATCAAGTAGCTCTCCAGTGTACCTGCTGCTGGAGCTTCCATGTGTCAATCACTCTTTTGACAACTTCGCTTGTAAAGCAAACACTTCTCTCCTGAACTCGGAGCTAGCCTCTCCCTTAACTACCCATAGTAAGCTGTGACTTTTAAGTCACCATTGATATGTTAGGAATTAAGGTGTGTGACCCAGGGGATAATTTTCAGCTGCCTCAAAAGTGAGTATTGTCACAATGCTGATAGCAGTCTTGATGTTGAGTCTGGCTTAGCAGTTATTCCACATGTCAGGGATCCATTCAGCCACTTCATCTGGGACACAGACACCTTGCCTGTGCTTTGAGACCCTTCTGTGATGCACATGTCCTACCTTCAAATGAGCTTCTCCAGGATAATGAAAAGCAGGAAGATCATTTCTTTTAAGAGAAGCTCCTTCTCCTCACAGACGTGCATCTTGCCCCAACTCCCACCAGGACAGCACCACAAAAGCAAAGCAGAAGTTTGACCTTCACTGCTAGTAATGCTATCAGTAGAACATTGCCGGGTTCTTTCTGATCTGCCCAAGTGTAGTGTGTTAGTCAGCCTTCCACCACTGTGACAAATACCTAAGATAAACAAAGGAAAAAGGGTTTACTGGGGTCCTACATCCACCAGTGTTAGCTCATGGTCACTAACCTGTGTTGCATGGGGCCAGTAGTGGTCCCGTACAACACTGGGAAGTTCGTGGTGGAGGAGGCTGCTCACTTCACAGTGGCCAGGAAGCAAGGAGAAGGGAGTCAGGGTCCCAATAACCTAACTTCCACTAGACCCATCTCCTAAAGGTCCCACCACCTCCCAAAGGTACCACAGGCTGATGACCAAACCTTCACCCATGGACCTTTGAGGGAATATTCCAGAGCCAAGTCACAGCAGTTGGCCCAATTCCTTTTGTTTGCTTCACCCCAAAGAGATACATTAATGCCAGGAATTTCCCCAAGGCCCTTTCCCCCATGTCTTCTTCCCCATAATCTTCTCCATCTTAATTTAACACCTCCCCAGCACAGTTCTGGAGATGATGCATAAATCCCTTAAAAAAAACAAGCTAGTTTTCAAATGGAGTCTTAGTCCAGACTCTGAGGAGGATGGATAGTTCTGCAAAGCACATAGCATTGAGTCCCTTAGAAGAGTTGGTGCTATCAGCTTCCCCAAGGCTAACCATACTCTGGAGACCTGCCACAGCCTGCCTGATGACTTCCTGACAGACAGGAACTAGCCCTGCAAGATGTGAGTAGAGACATCTCTTGCTATCACATAACACAGGTTCTTTCCGGAGCTGGATCCAAGTATGTTCCACACTCTGAAACCATCCAGAGCAAAGCTACACGTGAGAATTGTATCAAAATACCAAGTTCTGTGGCCATGGCCACTCAGGTGATCTCTCTAGAACTAAACATTCTGACTTCAAGGGTTACTGGAGACTTCCTGCAACAGAAAACTGAGTGTTGCCTCACGGCTAGTTTCTCATAGATTCTCCCTAATCAAGTCCCTTATTTTGGGCCCCTTGTTTATTCACCTCCTGACAGCTTTGGATCCCCACATATGAGCATCTGTGTCTTTCCACTTCTCGAAGGGCACATGAGAAGGGCCCAGATGGCTGGGGGAGGGGTGTGGCGGGCAGCACATCATCTGGACAGGAAGCAGCGCTCGTGGGGAACAGCAGCATCCCTTCAGCAGCCCCCCGGCACCAGCTGTGCCCTAAACTGCTTTCTTGCCTACATAATGGGGGCTGACAGTGTGGTTTTACCTTTCAGTCCAGCTCCCTCGTGAAAAAGCAGGCCCTTTACTCTGAAGCTCCCAACCGGCCAGCTCCCAGGAATCCCACAGCTCAGTTAAACCTAAAATTAGATGGCATTTTCAAAACAAGCAAGTAGCCAACTGATAATAAATATGGTGCAAACC